ATCATTAAAACCAGAAATTATTTATTAGATTTCTGCTTCTCGAGTGATTCCTCAAAAGGTTGTTTTCAATTTTCATTGCTGTGATAGGTAAGCATCAATTTTAAATCTACAAACGAACCATGAAAGGTACACAGGATAAGATGGCTTACCAAGGAATCAGTTCTTCAAAAAAGTGGTTGGCAATAATCTACAGTTTCGCTGCTGCATTGAATGTCATCGTATTGATCGTAGCAATAACTTCAGCCAGTGGATCAGCAATTGGTTTTACATTTGTTGGCCTGGTCATCAATGGAGTCGCGTTAGCGGCAATCATTAAACAATGGAAAGTCTTTCTTATCATTTATCAAGTTATTCTGTTTATTGGGATCGGTCTCTGTGTGATCACAGTTTTCCCTGTAGCAATCGCGCTTGGTGCTCTTTCTAATGATTTTACAGAAGAACAAAAAGCTTAATGGTTACGAGCATAATTTTCTTGAGTGTTGCCATTTGTCTGGAATGGATTTTTGTTCGTACTTCTTAGAAGATATACTAATGAATTGGCCAGTACTTCATATGTATAAACTGTAATTCATGATATTTATCATAAAAGCTTCATCAATGTAAATAGTCGAACATCACAGGTAATTTAATCTAATCTATACATCTATACAATATATAAAGTCAAAGCATCAAATTTTTGCATCAAGATTGTGGTCGAACTGAGCGGGTTCTAAGAAAAAAATTATACAGCGTGAAAGCCCTAACTCAGCTACAACGAAAAATAGGAAACCTGTCCTCAGAATCTCATGACCTCTGAGAAACTTATGAAAATAGAGACTGGGGGAAAAAATGTAGAATCCGTATTCATTAACATTGAGAGAGGGGAAAAAACTTTTTTGTTATTCAGGTTGATGGTTGATTGTTGGACCAGGATTTTATATAAAACTGTCATTTGAGTAAAGAGTTAAGAAGGGACCAGCTTTTTGCCACCCCTTTTTTACCGTTTTTCACCGTATTGTCCACCATATTGTCCTAAACCCAATCCAACACATCCACCAAATCATGATTTAGTTGATTCAGCGCATGTTTTCAATCGGGTGGTCGACAATACCGTGAAAAGACGGTTAGCATGGGTGGTTAAAAGAAACTGCGATCAGCCATGATAGCACCAGTTGTATTAATTTAACGCAATTATTAATACTATGACTGCGATTTTATTGAGTTTGTCATTCAGAACTTGATGAACTTTTAGTTTACGAAATGGAACCATTTGAGGCTTTAAATATAAGTTGAATTTGTTGATACAGAGGGAAGATATTTACGCTCAGTAATGATCGGAGGCTCCACTTGTTTACTGTAAAAGCATAACAGCTTAAATTATTGGCCTTGTGATAAACTAAAGTAACTTTACTCTTTGTTCTCAACATTGGTCAAATTATTCTCTTTATTGGAATGGTGTTTGGTTCGGTTTGTGGCTGGAGTCATTGCGATATGTTCTATCGATAGTCTTACAACACAGACAAAATTAAAAACCTTTTTTCAATGAGAAAAACTAAAAAATAAAATAAAATCTGGTTCAACAACTAAACATAATGGGAGTTTGAATTCAGAAAGCGATTTTATCAAAAACCTTTGACCAAAGAAATTTCGTAATCACATGAAAAGTTCCAGTTCTTGTATCTTATTTAACTTTAAGTTAATCAGGTAGCAACTCTTGACTCGTAGAAATAAGCATCAGCACTTATTAATCAACTAATAATCTTCACAATATTTAAAATGGAGAAAATCGTATGTTTAATAAACATTGTTTATGATGAATATTTATTAACGTATCAGTCATTGGAATTTATCTTCATTTTCATTCCCAATTCGTTAGCATGAGATTTTAGTAAACAATAAAAATATCATCACATCTAGTAAAGTTAAAGTTGAACATAATTGTGAGCACTGAATTGAAAAGACTGATCAAATTAAAGATGGAAACATTGAATTGACAATTTTATTCAATAGAGATGATTCAATGTTATTTATCTCACGAGTTTCCTGTTTATATTCAATGTAAAAAACATAATCAATAAATTTTGATCAAATTCAATGGAAACGACAATTATTGTTCTATTAATCTTAGTTTCACTCCTTTTGACATTAAACATGAAAAAGATAAAACTCTTCTCGACACCTTTGCTTGGCCTTATTAGAATAGCTTAACGCCCCTTTAAATGCTAATAAATAGATTGTTCAAATAAAATTTTCTTTAAACAATTTTTCGATTTCAAGCCGATCTCTTGGGTTAAACTGGGTATTCAAAACATCTTTTGCAACCTGAATCTTCACATCAAGAATGATTTCAATCGATCTCAACTTTTCTTTTTTACTTTGTTTTCTATACTTAATTAATTCTATTATTTGTGTTGATTTCAAATGCCCTGAAAGAGGTAAAATTGGTGAATTGAAAGTTCCAAATGTTCTCAGTTTGATTGAAAAACAAACAGGTTATCGTTCATCTGTTGAAGTTATCGATCCAATCCGAAATAATTTGATCCATGACTACTATGATGTGAAAAACAATGTTGGATATGTTGACTTGGAAGCAATCATTCAAGATAAAATGAATCGACGTTATTATTATCATTCGACAGAGGAAAAGATTGCCGTTCGAGAAGGTATATGTAAAAGGTTAGAATTAACCCAGAATGAGAAGATTGAATCGATCAAAGATTGGTTTGAACCAAAAGATATTGTCGCTAGTTCAGAGATGTTAAAGACTTCGTTCATTTGGGACCAACAGTGTTGATGATCTATGCCCATAATATAAGTGATAAAGTTTCCTTCATAGGACCCGAACTGATTGAAGGTCGTAGTGTTAATCACTGGTTTTATTGTACCAATCCTAATGGACCTTACATTGACTTTTACTTTGATGTAAAGAGCTCATTGCCTTATCGGTTCTCATTGTATTATCCTAAATGGATTGAGACTCAGGAATTCATTTCAATAAATGAGACTCAAACAGTTAAAAAGCAAGTTGATTCTGATTCAAAATATGTTTACAACTTTTACATGTTTGAACCGTTGGTCATATCATCAGATGATGCTATCCCATATCCATTAGGTTATGGATGTGCTCGTAAAGGTACTCATCCATCTATTCCATTACCAGATTTTGGTCAAGTTAAAGAGTTTACTATGGACATGGAAGCGATACTAGTCTATCCTAACAGTGACCCTATCAAATCAACGTGTCGAGTAATGAAACGAGGCGATGTTATTTCATACAAAATCCAAGAAGGAACTGATTTCATACGTTCCATTGAAATGCCACCTCCTTTAGGGCGATTTCGCGTAGATGAAAACACTGGTCAATGCAATCATCGTACATCAGATTATTTTGACCTTAACATGGTCACCCGTTGGCCTTACCCTCCCTTCAAGTATGTTTTCAATTTATTGTACTATTTGGTAATGAAACCTCCTGTAGAATATGCAGCGACTTTCATTGGTGAGATACCATTAGGACCGCTTCGAGTGGAAGAATACAGAGCAACTAAGTTCTTCAATCGTGAAGTTGATGCCATTATTGACTATTATTACAATAAGAACGCAAGTAATTTCGTTCCGAGTAAAGTCATATTTACCAAAGATCGAAGTGATGAATACTATGATCTGGTTTCCTCTCCCCCTCAAGTTGAAGTAACCATAATTAGTTACGTTAGTGATTCCATTGAGTATGGTGATCGATTTGATGTTTCTGGCTGTTATGAAGAATCTGGTAGCTATACTTGGTTTCAACTTCTCTTTTCAGATCCTTGGACCATTGGATTCAATATGGTAACAATTAAGGAATCCACTGAAAAATCCTTGACTTCATTCATTCCAATAACTCGCATTGGTGAAATTCATGCACAACAAGTTGATTCTAATATTTATGTTACTGTTAAGCTTTATGATCGCGTGCATCTCATTAAGACTTATCAAGGTTTTACTCAATCTAAAATTATGAACCCTTCAAATATTTTGCAAAGATCTAAAGTCGAGGATTGTGAACTACTGTGCAGTTTAACACCGAATTGTTTTGATTTTAGTTATTGTTCAAACAAAGATTGTTCAATTTTTGCTAGAACAGATCTTTATGTCGAAACAGGCTTCAATGAGGACTGCAAATTTTATCATAGACCTACAACGGTTGATGTTACACCATTGGTTAGAGCAAATCATTTGTCGACAATGGCACATGTGTTACAACAGATAAGGAGTAAAGTCTCAGCAGGTGAATTTCGTTTAGACGGTATTGGCCTATCAGCTGAAGATTTGTTCATTGTGAATGGACCTGAAGAGATTGGTGACATTTCACAAGAGCTACACACAAGTGGTTCCAGACCTTTAAGAGCTGATGATTTTCCGATGATAAACACTAATCGTCATTTCAATGAAGGACAATTCAAGATTGAGAAAAGTACTCTTCAAGATTGTTTCATGGCTTGTGTGAATGACGATAATTGTAATACACTTTCATACTGTGTTAACCAGAATAAGGAATGTATTCTGAGTGGAGAAACATCGAGTTCATTGAATGACACATTCAAAGACAATACAAGCCATGCAGACGGATGTAACATTTATCAAAGTAAGTATACCTTCACATTGATTTGAGTTTCTCGAACTAATTTTGTTCCTCAATTTGAATCTAGAATCATTCATGAATCTATTCCATGAGTATCCTGGCAAAAGTCTAGTTCTGGATGCTGTCTCAACCATATCTGATGTACCAATTGGTGATTGTGCTAAAAGATGTGTCCAATCGAATGATTTCAATTGTGAATCATTTGATTATTGCCAAGATAATTATAAACGGTAAATCGAAACTTGCATTTGATTTCCACAGAAAAGATTTCTTTTTTCGTCATTTTGCTAAAATCTTAAGCTCATCGGTAGTTTTGAACGATTTTTCTTCGATTTTCATTATTAATTATTTCAATCATTTATCTATGAATAGATCTAATGTATTTTTATTTTTTATCCCAATGTCTTTCAGAAATGAATCTGTTTGTTTCTTACATGTTAACCACATAGAGATAGATAAAGTTCATCAAATAAATGCAACAAACTGGAAGTTGGCTGAATCTGGATGTTCCCACTATTCAAGTACCAGGTTATTCAAAAGTCACTTTACAACTTTGTTCGACGTTAACTTTGCTAGATTTTCTAGCTTTGTAACAAGTAATGCATCAAAATGAAGCTGAAAAGAAGAGGATTTTTTGTGCCTGATCTTTTTTTATTTGATGCTCCCTAGCGGGTTTTGGCAATACCGGCCATTGTAAGCGCTACTTCTTTTAATTCAATTTATGAGGTTTTCAATAGTTTTTTTCTCATTTTGTTGATGAAATATGCGAAAATAACCCAAAAGCAGAGTTTTTCAGTGATTTAATGATAGATTTTTCGAAAAGTGAATTTCTTCATTTTTGCGACCTTCATGAGACACAATTCAGTCTTACCTTGTTAAAGCCTTTCTATCTGATTCTCTTGATGCTTCAAAGGCTTTTCTAAACTTTTTCAATGTTTTCGCACTAGTCAGTACAAAAATTGGACGATTTGCAGTTGTCCGTCGGGTGATAAGGCCATTTTCAGGTCAAAATTTTTTTTTCTAAAAACAGTTTTAAACAAAACCTTAGTTAAAATAAACATTATGGCAACAAAAATTTTCGCAAAAAATGACCTCTGAGTAAAGTTATTAACAAAAAAAGTTGTAAAGTGACTTTTGAATAACCTGGTAAAATTTTTAATTCAACCTTACATTCATTTGAAATCTGATAAATATCATATTACTAATTATATATTATATTAATCATATTATCAATATTTACTAATTATTCAATCTTTTATATTTTATATTAATTTTTATATCTTTTACAGAAAAATCTGAACTTGATTATGAACATAAAGTTGGACTTGCATTGAAAGATGATTTAAAAGAATCAATTGTTGGTATCTTTGACCATCTATCACTTGAACACTGTGCTTCCAGATGCAATTCAGATCCTAATTGTTTTACTCTCGAGTTTTGTGAAACAATTTACTATAATCAAGTTTCCGATAGCAGTGCTTCATTGACGAGTTGTGCATTGACAAAGTTGAAACCAAGTAAAGACAATCAAGCTCAACTATTTGAAGTAACAAAAAGCAACAACAAAATTTGTTCAATTTACATAAATCACAATAAGATTTCAGGAAAAAGTAAAACTGGCCCACAGCCATCTGCATTAATAATGCCATCTGAATCACCAACTAAATCAAACAATTTGAAGTTAGCAATTGGATTGGGAACAATAGTTAGCTTAATGGCGTTTGCTGGCGGGTTCATTGGATATAAATTTTCACCTAAAAAAGAGTCATTTTGTAAATCATTACCTTTTAGTCGAAAGGCAGTTACACATATTACAGGATTGACTAAATTGTAAAACTTAATGAAAAGAAATGTGCGATTATCACACATTTCTTTTCAACTAGAGGATCAACATTTTTGATCAACAAAAACAATCAATATTGAAACCAAATTTCTCAGAAATTAATCCCTAGTTAATAGCTAGTTAATAGCTCAAAATAATGTATAATGAGAATCATGAAAAGCTTTTAATCAGAATAAAAACAAAACCTAATAATGTAGGTTATCAAAGTTATTTTAATCAACAATTGAAACCGTATTGTAACTAAATTCTCGGAATTCAATCAAATTTTTGCGTCATTCGCTCATTAATCACCCGTTAACACTTCAAAGTGATGTGTATCTTATACAATCATGAAAATATTATAATCAGAATCGAGATCAACTTGGTGTTTGAGAAATGTGTGTGTTATAAAATTGATCATCTGATCATTGAAACCAAAAAATTCGTTTAAATCAGATTTCTGCTTTATTAAGTCTTGATCAAACTCCATTGCTATTGAATTGAGTATAAAAAATTATTCATTTTTAACTCTGTTTCTCAAGTGTTTCCACGAAAGTAAATTCCAATTTTCAGTACTAAATCTGTGTTATTAAACTCAGCATCAAGTATATTATAAATCTATGAACGAATCATGGAAGTTACAGAGGATAAGATGGCGTACCAAGGAACCAGTTCTTCGAAAAAGGGCTTGATACAATCTACAGTTTCATGCTGCATTAAATGTCATCGCATTGATCGAAGCAATAGTTTCTGTCAGAAGGTCAGCCATTGGCCTTAGTCTTATGCACCTAGTCCACTAGAAAGTGGCACAAGTTCAATTTAATAAATGGACCCAGTTTTAGTGTTCCTACAAACTTCACAGCTAAGATTATTAATAATTCGCCACGATTTCATGGTCCTATCATTAAGGAGGGTCTCCAGAATTTTTAACTTTTTTATCCTTGGGAGTTAAGGACTCAACTTTTTTTCTAATAGAATTTTGAATGTTGAGTTCAAAATTATTTCCATTTTAGATCAGCGGTTTATGAGTTATTTGAGGTCAAAGTGCGCAACTTTCGAGGCCATTTAAGACCGCATCATGAGTTTAATTTTTTTGCAAGCTTTGGCAATCAATAGATCGCAATAAGACCTATCGAACAATTTATCAAAATCTACTTTTGCTCACTGGTTTCTGCTTAAAAGTTCAGCGAAAAATTCGGACAACTTGGGCGCTTGGCCTTAGGTTTGATCTCAGTGTCATCATACTTGGTAGTAAGTGACATAACATTAAAGCACAAAGATTGAATCTGAAAATTTCTCGATTTTAACACTAGCGAGAATGCAAATGGTCTTCAATTTTCAATCACTCATCAAGTGAAATTCAAATTTCATCTAACGTTGTTCATAATTATTTCATTAAAAATTTGATTATTTTGAAGGTACCAAGGGTTAGGAAAAAGATGATACCGATTTCAAATTAACTTATCCTTTGAACTGAATGTCATATTTATTTCAAATGTTCAATATTTTGCCCTTTACAATACCAAATTTTACGACAACGTCGTTGCCAAGATCGCAAAGCATTATCAATTAATGATTGTGGCAATTTACGCCAAGCTAACCTTATCGCGTTTTTTAAAGCAGGTAAATCGCTGTAGGTTTCTCTCATCTACAACTCGTTTCATGTAAGGCCAAATAGCGTAGTCCATCGGTGCACAATCAGGGGAGTTAGCCAACCATTTTCTCGGTTCGAGAAACTTGATCTCTTGACTTTTGAGAAAACGGAGAGTACTTTTGGCCGTGTGTGGATGGGCGGAGTCCTATTGAAAGATGTAATCCTTTTCGGGGTATAATTGACCTAAATCATTATTGATGAATGGTGTCAAAATGTTGTATGTAATATTCTGCATTGATTTTAGCTTTCTGGTCAACAAAAATGAGGCTAGATTTACCAGCAGCCGAAACAGCAGCCCAAACCATTATACCTGATCGTTTGTGTCCACTTTTTTTCTTAGTTTTTTTGGGCTCTTTAACGGTGGGATCGGCATAATAGAAGTCAGTTTCACTCCCTCCATCAGCTAAATAGAACATTTTCTCATCACTTGTGATAAATTTGTTCCAACCTTTTTTCATAATCAAGCGGTACAAAGGCCAGCTTCGGCGACGTCTTTGTAACACTGCACTTGCATTCAACGCGTGAATTCGTCGCTTTTTGAATTTTTTCAGGTTAAATATCTTGTCCCTGTAATAGATTATAGTTGGAGGACTAACTTCGAACTTGGTTGATAGGCTAGTTATCGTTGGAGGATTAGGTTGTCGCAGCAATCGGTACAATCGATTTTGTTGACGCTTGGTTAGCTTGCGTTTTCGTCCTCTTTCACCAATTTTTGGTGGTCTTTTGATCTTCTTTCGATCTCTTTCTTGATAGTAGACACTAAATAAGGCACTAACTTGTAAATTTTCTTTCATTAATTCTTTAATTATCATACTTCTTGAGTATGAAAGGCTTAAAAGGTGAGAAATTTTTGCTTTTCACATAATCGGAAGCTTTTTTGCCTGTCATCTTCACACTTTAACAAATTAACAATAAATGAATTTGTTACATTTTTCTTGTCAATTTGATACCAAAAGACGTCAGTCCGACTAGACAGTCTGGCGCTATGGCGAGATGAAAATGGTATCATTATTTCCTAACCCTTGGTAGATTGCTTGAATTAAGGTATGACCGATAAAGTTTGTCACATATTTTTGTGAATTGAATTGCGTCAGTTAGACTAGACTTTCAGGCACCATTTAACCGTTGAAATAACGGTACACTTCTCAAGCACATTTTGAGCAAAAATCGCCAATTTATGACCTTAAATAGACAAAGGCATCAAAATCTGATTTTAACTTTACCCAAAAACCATAAATTTTTCAACTTCATACTAAGGCTTCAAATAATCGAAAAAAACTTTGACTTTGGCCTCAAAGTTATTGAAAAAGATGTAATTCTCTTAATATAACCCAGAATAGATCAATTGAAAAGTCCAGGCCATCGCCAAAACTCAATTTCATGGACATTTGATGAAAAAACGGGTCTTCAAGCTTTTTTAAAAAAGCTTGTTGAAAAAATGACCTCGATTTCGAATATTTCGAGCAATTAACCTGCAATAAAAACATCAGCATCTCATAGACAGGAGTAAGTTTACTTTATGACCTTTTTATTTCAAAATATTGCTCTAAGCCGACACTAGTTTAATGTCAAAATGAGTTTCATATGTCGGTGAAAATTGTGTTCCACTTTTGAAAAAAACATGTTTAATCAACAGAAAAAATCAATATCGCAACGATTTTCTCAGAAACCAATCTTTTAAATGCATCTAACTTCGATACAGTCAGCACCTCAAAATAATGAACGTTTGCCAATCATGGAAAGGTTATCATAACCATAATTCAAACCAACCTGGTTAGATTAAAATAATGAGTGCGTTATAGATTGGATCAAGTGATCGATTGTACCAGAAATGAGTCCAGATTAGATGAGAAATGAGTAGATTGCTTCGATAAAATCTTAATCAAAGTCTAAACTCCATTGCTATACATGGTTATTATATACAGGGTGTAACAGCCAAATACGCGGTTTTGAATCGCTAATAACTTTTTGGTCCTTTGTCCGATTCCAGAATTCCTTTCGATTATGTGTAGTTAAAAAGTGCGAGTTTCGTTCAATGTAGTTTATAAATTTATATGATCACCATTAGGGGGGACAAAATCTGCTCCAAATTGAAAAAAGTTGAATT